CTTTGGGGGGGGGGGGGGGGGGGGTGTGGGGTTGTTTAGTTTTAGAAAACAAAATTGTTAGTTGGAGATTTTTCACATCCCATTTGCTTCTTTTTCAAATTTATAGTGCCCAATGCTGGATTCTTTCTGGTTTTTTAACACGTCTACATCTCTCATATAAGTCGAGACAACTTACTTTTTCTGTTTGGTGGAAAAGAAAAAAAAAAAGAAAAAAGAAAAAGCAGAAGAAAGAAGAGACAACTAACTTTATGCTTTTCATTTTAAATGCCACATTATTTACATACGTAGGATTTGTGTCAATCATTTGATAAGTGCTTCCCACTGTTGCATAAATCATCTTTCGAATAAATGCATTGTTGCACTGTGATCTTTGTGGTAGACTTCAAGTATGTGGATACTCTGAACCCTAACCTTGTGCCTTTTATGAAAAAGGTCTCTCTCTCTCTCTCTCTCCGTGTGATACATGGTTGTGGGTGACTTGTCAATTTTAGGATGTGATTATTCACTATCTCCTTTCGTGCGCCCCTCACCTCTCCCATGAGAATGATCCATTGGATTCATTGCAACACTATGAACAATGGGTCGTTTGGTTTTGTCCAATTTTTTTAAGCTTATGTATACTTGTGGGTATGAAAAAAAGAGATTTTTTTATTGATGACTTGTCTGGGTATAACTAAAGAAAAAATAATCCAAACAATGAAAGGAGAAAGACACACGTCCCTTATATATCCATTTGGACTATACAATGATGTTATTCGGTTTAAAAAATATTGGTGCCACCTACCTTACTAGAAAGAGTTATGATGCAGATATTTTAAGATCAACAACATAAAATAGTAGTGTTATGTGGATGACCTCACAAATCTACAAAGGGTCTTCAAGAGACTTCGAAAGCACAACATGAGGATGAAAATGCTTTCTGGGGGTAATATTTGGAAAGCTATTTTGTTATTACAAGAGATGAAATCAAAATTGACTCGGCCAAAATGAGGCCAACTAACCTCCGCGAAAACTCAGACGACTACAAGGAATGTCTGACTTACATCAAAAGATTCATCTCAATCAAGAATATGTCAACCATTTTTACGCTAATGAAGAAAGGGGTCAAAAAAGTACGGGATCAAGCTTGTGACAACACGTTTCATAATATCAAGCAATACTTAACACAACTGTCAGTTCTAGCCTAAACCCACCCACTGCCCAGGGTGGTTGGCCTTTTTTCAATTATACACACGCGTCATGGATGATTCACTTGGAGCAATGCTAGCCCAAAAGAATGACGAGGATAAAAAACACGCATTATATTACCTAAGTTGAATGATAGTTGCTATAGAACACCGGTATAATCAATTCAAAAGGAATGTCTCGCTCTCGTGTTCATAACACATAAAGATGTAATATTACTTAATTTGTACGAATCGTGAACATACTGTCCACGACCAAATATATAGTCAGTAAGAGCAGACAAACAGGGTCGGGTGTAAGTTCCAGAATCAAAGAGTTGAGTTTCGATCATTCTAATGCACTGATCATGTGGCACGACCAGTACTCAAAGCCCTGGCAAATGATGGCCCACCCCACCCAGAAACGCTTACGTCATAGGAAAACTTACGACTAAAAACAATTCTTATGGTTCTGATATCCGGAGGTTTGGGCAATAATTGACCGATGAATATACGACTTAGGAGCCATTTAGGTGATTGCAGCCTTACTTGGGAATGAGCATCTTATTCCGACTTTCTAATAAGAAAAACCCTAGTTATCCTGCAATTCATTGTCTGGTTATGGTCAAGAAATTTTATGGAAATTAATATCAATTCCATGAAGATGAATATGTGGTGGGGGGGGGGGGGGG